CAGCAGTTAGCGTAATGGCTATGTCGCTGGACTCCCACGTAGTCGACCGTGGTTCATGTCCCGGACCCGGTGGCTTAAAACTCACGCCGGGCGCGTGTGCGTGTGTGCCCAAGATCCCGAGAGGAGAGTGGAGGAGAAGGGATTGCGGCGTGACCATCCCCCCTGGGGGGTGATTTCTCGCTTTCTGTCTCTATGTCTCTGTCTGTGTGGCGAGCGCACGTGCCCTACAGTGAAAATCTCTCCAAAAAAAAAAAAAAAAATCTTAATAAAAAAATAAATAAATAAATAAAAATAACCCGTATCCCTGAAAATATTCTTTGTCCATTATTAATATAATTAGATGTTCATCTTTTGATTAGTGTTACCATGGTAAGCACAATATAGCTTCCTTTCTTTACTTTAAACCTGCTTGTTATTTATATTTAAATTGTTTCTTTTTTTTTAAGAATTATTTTATTTAACTCTATTTATTTATTTGTTTACTTACTTACTTACTTATTTAAATTTGACCAGAGAGGGACAGGGTGAGACAGGGAAAGTGAAAAAGCAAGCCACCAGGTCAGACACTCAAACCGTCCTAGGCTATGTGGGAGTCCAGTACCCTTAACCACCTATGCCTACTGCTGGTCCCTAAACTGCGTTTCTTATGGTTTTTATCTCACTTTTTAAAATTGGATCTGACACTTTCTGCTTTCAATTGAGCTGTTTAGACCATTTATTATTGAATGTGTGTTACTGATATAGCTGGATTTGAGTCTGTTGATGTTGCTATTTTTTTTCTGTCTCATTTGTTCTTTGTACCTCTTTTACTCTCCTCCTGCCTTTTGGATTAATTGAGTGTTTTTTATTATGTACTTCAGTCCTTTGTTGTCTTATCATGACATTTTTTGTGTTGTAATTTTAGTTACTACCTTGGATCTTATTGTGAACATATTTAAATTATCATATCTACCTCCATGTGATACTACACCACTTCACATAAAATAAACTTACAGTAGTATACTTACATTCCTCCCCTCCTAGCCATTACACTATTGTTGTCATACATTTTATGTATACGCAAAATCTCACACCAAATTGCCCTTATTTTTGTGTAAACAGCCAGTGATCTTTATAGAAATTTAAATAGCAAGAAAAATTCCTGTTTGTTTATCTCTGCAGCTACCATTACCTATTTTTCTTGTTCCTTTGTTAGATTCGTATTTCCCTCAGAGTATTCTTTCTGCCAGAAGGACTTCTTCTGGCATTCCTTGTAGTGAGTCTCTTCTGATTATTTATTTCATGTCTTCATATGCCTGAAGAAGTCTGTCACCTTCCTTTTTCAAGGTAGTTCTTTGAGAGTATGCTGTTTTCTTTTAGTACTTTGAAGATGTTTGTTGTCATCTGGCTTGCACTGTTTTGACAAGAAATTTGCTATCATTCTTAGCTTTGTTCTTCTGTATGTAATGTGTCTTTTTTTTTCTGTCTGCTTTTAAGATTTGTTTATTACAGATTTTGAACTAGTAATTATGATGTATAGTTTATTCTTGTTTGCTGTACTTTGAGTTCATTAAACTTCTTAGGTATATGGGTTATAGTTTTTATCAAATTTCATCAAATTTGATTGAGACATGGTTTCTTCAAATATTTTTCAGTTCCCTTTAGGATGCTCAACGTCTTCCCATATTTCACTGATATTCTTGTTTTCTTTTAAGATATTTTCTCTGTGTTTTCATTTTAGATTCTTTCTATTACTATATCTTTAAGACCATACATTTTACTTTTGCCGCTCATTCTATTCAGTGTATTTTTTAATCCCTAGGAATTTAAATATGAGTCTTAAAATTTTTTCTCTGACTCTACTTAATTTTTACATATGAAGAATGCTGTTTTTAATACCTTTGTCTATTAGTGTCTGTGTATGATATCAATACCCTTTATTCAATAATGGATTCATTTCTTTTCTGTCATTGTAGGACATGTTTTTGTTTCTTTGAATGTCCAGTAGTAGTTGATTAGATGCTAGGTTTTGTGAATTTTATGTTTTGGGGTGATGAATATTTTTGTACTCCTATAAATATTCTTGAACTTCATTCTGGGACACAGTAGAGTTACCTGGAAAGAGTTTGATTCTTTTAGGTCTTGCTTTTAAAATCTGTTTGGTGGGACCAGAGCAGCACTTAGGCTGGGGTTAGTTGTCTCCTACAATTGAGACCCCATGAAACCATTCCTAGAATAGAGTAGGTGTGGTTCAGGCCTTGAGGGACTCTGAGATACCATTCCCTCTAATCTATTCAGATGGGTTCTCCTCGCCCTTGGATGGTTTTATCACATGCATACACTAAGTAGTTCTCTGTTAGATATTAAAGCAGGACCCACTAAGGATCTCTGGGGTTTTCATTGTTTTCAGCCCTCTCATTTCCTCTGTGGTCATCTAGCCATGTGGTGGCTCTGGAACTCTCAGCTTTACCTCTTCAACTCAGAAAGA